TCCGTGCGCGCCGTGTAACTTACCGGGCGAACGAGAACGGAGCGCGCTCGCTCCCTTCTCCTTCTCCTTTTCTCTTTCTTTTTCTCTCTCTCTCTTTTTCATCGAGAAGAGATCCTTAACGTAGGTGCGTTCATCGACGTAGATCCTTAACGTAGTTTAGGATTCCATCGCGCCGCGTTCCTCCTCGAAAATCCGCCCGGTTTCCTTATAACAGTCCTCGGCTGGCTCCTCTCCTCGGGAGGAGCGAGGTAGCGCGATCGAGTCCGGTTCTCGAAAGAGATTCTTCTCGAGAGAAGAGAAAGAGAGAGAGAGAGAGAGAGAGAGAAAGGGGGGATCTCCGCGGAGGACTTTGCTCGTGTTCGCGCGTCCGCGCGTATTAGGGCGCCCCGTCGAAGCGGCGAACAACGCAGCCATACTCGGAGAAGCTCGGTAACACGATAGCGGCCGTATGTAAAACCATCTGGTGTAAAACGAGCTGCTGGCTCGTTCGAGTATTAAATCGGCCCTCTCTCACCCCTGGCTACACCCTCCTCCTCCACCGCGCCCAGGCTAACACACTCTTTTCGTCGATCCTCTCGTCGATCAGAGGCCGCCCTCGATTCTCTTCCTCCCACGTCGATCCTCTTTTATCCCTTTTCCTCTCGCCCCCTTCGTCTCTTCCGCGCCTGGGGTCGCGGCCGTCCCTTTATCCGGAGGAAAGCGCACTCCGCGGGCCCCGCGCTCGTGGACGGCCACGAGGAATCCGCGCTGATCCGAATCCTCGCGTTCCTCTCCTCCTCCCCCTCCTCCCCGCGCACGCGTCGACCTCGGGACAACGTCCGCTCGTCCGACGTCCTCTCGCGTTAAAGTCCGCCGGTTTAATCGGCCGATCGACCGATCGCGGAACAAAGGACGGCCTCCTCGCGGACGGCGATCGCCGGCGAGATATATCCATCCCGTAGAAGAAAGAATGCCGCGAGGAGGAGGAAAAACGCGGTCGAAGGTATATAACACGAACATCTCGGGCGAGGGACGTCGTTAAGCGCGTTTCCACCCGTGGACGGCCGTGGAAACGACACTTCGTACCGGCGGTTAATGGGCAATTAAAGGCCGGCTTTACGTTTCGCCTCGAATATATTAAGCGGCCTCNGTTCTCGTCGTCCTTGTTGTTATCCGACCGAACGCGGGAACGCTCGAAAACTGGGACGGGGAAGGATCGCGCTCTCGCTCTCGTTCCTCCTCCTCCTTCTGCTCTGTCCATTTCCACTTCTCTCCTCTCAAAATTCTCTCGGGAGAAGGATGCGCGGATCCTCAACTTTATCCTCGTTATATCTTAGGCGCGCACGCGCGCGCGTTAAATATCTCTCGCGTTAATTTCGATCGTGATTACCCGATCGCGGTGCATTCTCTCTTGGCACGCGATCGAGCCGCCCGCGGAGAAAGATCCGGTCGAGCGATCGAACGATTCGGCTCCGTCGAAATCGCGTCCGAATTCCCTCCTCCCGCTCTTTCTTCTCCACTTCCTTTGCAACTTTGCATGCCGGACGCTAATAATAATAATGATAATAATGATAATGATAATAATAATAATAATAACAACGAGAACAAGACAGGCCGATCTATCAGCCGGTTAATGAGAACGAAGGCGCGGGTACACGACGCCACGGTTCGCGTACCCTTGTTAATCGCGTTACCTGCTCGAGACACGCGTCGCTTATCTGCGATGCTTTTACAACAACGATATTTCAACGATACTTCAACGAATAAACGTTTTCTTTACACGGACTTGGATATCTGCCAGCCAACCAGCTTTTTTTTTTTATTCCATTTTATTACGATCGTGCCGCTTCGCCAACTTTTCCCAGTTTTCAGTTACTTTTAACTGGAGGTGAACGTTGAACCGTGCAGATCTTCGACCAAGATTTCGTAACCGAGTGGTGGGAAGAGAAATAATAACGTAGAGAAGAGGAGAAAAGATCCTAATGGCTCTCGCGAACAAGAGTATTATCCTCGACAAATTAATCGTCGACGCAGCGAGTCCGTCTTCGCGCGGACGACAACCGCGAAGGATGGAATAGGAGGATCGAAGAGGAGGAGGAGGAGGAGGAGGAGGGTCGATGAGGAGACTAATGTCCCTTAATGCAAGTTCGCGAGAGGGAAAGGATATAATAAGAGGAACGACCTCGGCTAGAGATGCGGCACTGACCTTTCTCGTAGTTGATTTGCCTTTCCTGCTGCCTCGCGTTGTCGGCCGCGACCTTGAGCAGGCCCTGGATATTCCTGAGCAGGGTCTCCGTACTCGAGACCGAGGGATCCTGGCCCCCCTGTGAAACGGCAACCGCCGCGGAGGCGATCTGGGAATAGTTGAGGGCCTGAGGACTCTCCGATCCTGGCGCGGGCAACGGCAGGTTCTCCGGCACGTCCGACAGATCTGAGAAAAAGAAAAGAAAAACCACTCGTTCGCCTCATTTCTACCTTTCTTTCACCCTTTCTTTCTTTCTTTCTTTCTTTCTTTGCAATAATAATTCTTTGCAATTCGACGCAACGAGAAACCTCCCCCCTCCCCTCCTCCCGAGATCTCTTTCCGATTTTTTGTCCAGCGCATATATATACATACGTAGGAGAGAGCGGGCGATCGGTTTGCCGATAAATTTCGTTCAAGGATCGTGGGGTACAACGTTCGAGGGAGGTCTCGCGCCCCTTCCCTTCTTTCTCGCTCTCTCTCTCTCTATCTCTCCCTCCTTCCTCAACTTACAACGCGTGCGTGTTCCAGAGTCGTAATCCCGCGACGACTACTTGTTACCCTTCGCCACGTCTCTGATTTAACGTCACCGCGGACGAATTAAATTCGCGAATTAAAACGGCACTCGGCCCGACCGATTAGCCACGATCGACC